AAACAGAGAAGATCTCACCGTCAGATTTACTAAACACTCAAGAGAGCACTGCTGAAGAACTGTGACGACCAGCTTCTCGAAAACCCAGACAACAGAAGATCCACTGCTGAAGAACTGTGACGACCAGCTTCAATAAACTTTATATAGTGTCTCATCAACCCTAAGGCTCAATACTAATCTCATGGACTAATATCAATGGCCCAACTCCAAGTTTGGTTATCACCAACCAAATCCAATGGGTTTCTTCCATCTAGAAAGAACCCAGCAGGTAGATGTACTCTAAACAATTAGAAGATGGGATCTTGCAGGTTTTAACCTTGGCAATACCTTTGGTGTTGAGAAATCATTTGAGCAGATTGACACTGCTATAGTTTGTATCGAAGGAGAAGTAGACTTTAGAGGTGATAGTAAATTGCAGACCAAAGTTGTGAGTGAGCTTGTGAAGTCAAAGACCATGTCAGAGCAAAAGACAGTATCTTCCCATAATATTCTGTTAGATATGAGTTGTACCATGTCATAAGAGAGATGGGATCTTGCAGGTTTTAACCTTGGTAATACCTTTGGTGTGAGAAATCATTTGAGCAGAATGACACTGCTATAGTGTGAGTCGAAGGAGAGGCATACTTTAGAGGTGATAGTATAATTGCAGACCATAGCTATGAATGAGCTTGTGAAGTTAAAGACTATGTCAGAGCAAAGACAATATCTTCCAATAATATTCTGTTAGATATGAATTGTTGAACGTCATAAAAGAAAACGAGGTGATAATGGTAGTAGATGAAACTGGATCAGAAAAGATTACTCAGCTAACGAAGTAACTTCACGAAGATAACTACACTATAAATGGTATAAAAGATTGCGCAACTAAGGCGTGCAGCAGCAATGAGTTTAAAGCGAATAAGTGAAGAGATGCAAACAAAGCTTTGGGGTAAATTTAATTCTTCCCAAAGCAGCTAGACAATAACCATACTCCTATGTATAACCCACTAGAATAATTCCACACTTTACTATTTTACTATGTTTGCATGATATATTATGTTAGATGACAAAATATTAGATTTTTCTGTTACAAATTTATATTAGATTACAGAAAATATACTAACAATAAATTTATGAAAAATGTTATTTTAACAAAAATATATATTTATAGTATTATTTTTGAATTGATTTTTCGCAACAGAGCTCTCACGTTAAAAGTTAGAGCGGTTAATATCGTTTATACCCTTAATGATGTTTTTATATATAACTTATTTTATTATTAAAAACGAAATTTATAAAACAAAATTAGATTAGTATATTATTATCTAAGATAACTGAGAATAATTAAGATAATAAATTTATAAAAAAATAAAAAAAAAGATAATTCTTATATATGTTATTATTATCTGAATATAATATTGTAACAACATGATAATGCTTATATATCTTAATTTTATATGTAATTGATTTTGACTTTTGAAAATAATATCATTCTATTATAAAATTTAAAAAGTAAAATATAAAAAACGATTTTAATTAAATATTAATACACAAAAACATTTGTATAAAGATACTTTTAATTATATAATTAAATATTAGATATTAAAAATTGGAACGGTTCAAGTTAATGATACCTTTAATGAAATTTATATATAAATTAGTTAAAAACGAATTGTATGTTAGTGATAGAAATTTATATGTTATTATATTAGTTAGTTTATTATAAATTAATAGGATAATTATCCACATTCATGTATATTTAAAACATAAGAAATCTTATAGAATATTATACAATTATCTGGAAATAATCTTTTTTTTTATTATGAAAAATAAAAATGTAAGTTATAAAATAATTTAAAATTAAAAATTGAGAAAAAGTATAAATATATTTTCAAAAATATTCTATTATGTGGATGTTTTTCAACACTATAATAAGCATATATATTTAATGTGAAATATTTTAATGTTTGATTTAGGTTTTCTAAAACTATAAAAAAATAAATCATAATATTATTTTAGAATTAATAAAACCAAAAAAAAATATGCGTAAGAAAATATTCCAGCATATGCGGGCACAACACCTAGTTAAAAATATCTGTAAATAAGTTTTCTTTTTGTAATCTATTCAGTTGAGCAAGTATTTTAGTTAATATTTTCTTTAGAAAAAATGAATATTTCCAAACAGCTAGACTATAATATAAATATAAACATTTTTTACAAAATATGTCAAATAATTCTCATATCAATAGTAATATAAAAAAAACTCTATACTAATTAAATTGTATAGAGTTTTATAAGAGATTATATACTAATTAATTCTAAAAGTTTGCAAAAAATCATGTTTTTAAGTGTTGTATGTTTCTCATTTATTTGGAATATAAAGTAAACTGAGAAACATATAAATTTGAAAAACACAAAAAAACTATTTTCCATAAAATATTTTTTTTTTTAGAAAAGTAAAAGTGTTAGTATACAGAAGCCTATTTAATGGTTAAATTTACAAACAAATACCATATAAAAGTAGTCCACATAATAAATATGATTAATTTTACGTACATATTATTTTGATTTGTTTATTATCTGACTACATGAACAACCAACATATATACAAACAATTAATCTATGTATAAATGGTAAGTAAATAATAAATATTACATTTTACAAACTAATAAAACATCGGACCAAACTCTGGTTTATTGTTTTAATTTTGGTTTACTTTAGATTTGAAGTTTAATTTTCTTATTCACATTATATATTTAATACTTAATAATATTATATCTTGATATTTTTTTTTTTGTTATGTCATAACTCTTAATTTGTTAAGATAAACTAGTTGTAACATAAACACCAATTAATAGAATTTTAACTTGTAAAGTTCACAAAAATATTAATAGAGTTGATACTTTGTTCCTGCTTTAGTTGTTCTGTGGACTCTTGTCTCTGGAAATGTCTTTTATCCGTCAGCTTATGTATTAAACTATCGCATGAATAAATTTCAATTTGGGAAAAGGAAATTTAAGTTGACAAAAAAAAATTAGTTGTTCAGTTGTCCAAAAAGTTGTCCGGTTCGGATTCATGAACATTGTCAAAATGAGCAAAAACATGTTTACTTCAACCATTTTTTTTTATCTTTCTCATGAATTTCTCATTCAATTGAGACCGCTTTATTATCTTTGTTAAAACTCATGCGCAACATACTGGGGCATAACTTTATGTTTAAGGGCAAACACATCTCTTTTTCAATCTTCCACAATCAGTAGCATATCTTGCATATCAGCTTCCACTTTTCAGTGAGTTCGATACCGTTTGCCTTGCATATACATTTTCAATCAGTTTGATACAATTAGCAATACTTGCATGCATCACATCCCTTAAAACATTAAATGCTTCCGTTCCATGGAAAAAAGAGAGCTGCTCAAGTGCTGGTAACAAACTTACAAGCATGTGATTACCAACAATTCTTCATCAGTTCAACAAAATCGAGAACTTTAACACCTAAAATCTTGAGAATATCAGTGATATAGTCGAGACTTCTGCACTACCCTGATGTCGGCAAAGCATATCTCAACAGAGATCCCCAATAAATTATTATGGCCTTGAAAGCATATCTGTTACTTCTTCTCTCAATTAACGAATCTCTCTCGACTCACTTCTCGATCACATTTGCTAAATTATTATTATAACAAAATATAAGTCACATTTTCTCAATCAACAAAATATAAGTCAATTCTAGTTAGAATATTCAAATAAATGGATCAATGTTGTATCCCGAGAAACTACAATATTGATCCCTAATTGGTTCGCTAACAAATATTCTCATCGCCGTCATGTATACGTCGATTCAAAATGCAATAAAGAACTAACATATGCTAATTAATACGTAAACTGACAGATAAGTTTAGTGTTCTAGTTTAACTAAAATCCCAAGGCCGAAACCAGAGACAAAGCTGATGTTAACACTATCAATTTCCGAGTTATTCAGACTACAAGCAAACTGGCCATTGCTAGTGTATAGTTAAACTCAGAATATTAATCAAGAAAACCAATTAGAAACAGATTTTAAAAACCCTCAGTTATTCCATTGCTAGGGTCTGAGCTCCACTGCATCTCGCTTAATTGGATTTCCTCATTAAAAGAATTAATGAAACTAAATAAAAAATTAATAAAATCGAAAACAGATTTTAAAAAGCCTCAGATATTCCATTATCTTCATAGAAATTGCAGTTTCTGCCAAGGGGTTCTCCCTGAAAACAGGGTCTCAGCTCCACTGCACCTCGCATTATTGGATTTCCTCATCGGCAATATTAATAAAAGTAAATCAAAGAATAAAAAGCTCAGAGTTTATACAGCTTCTTCTATCAAGAATTTTCTGAAGCAGAACTGGCGTAAAGCTGTTAAATTTAATCATCACTGCCCACAAACAAACAAAAAACAGGAAACACTAATAAGATGAAACAAAGAGATACATATTAAGAAATTCAACCATTGTTTTCCGATTACTTCATAGAACTCAGAAGCGCGGATAATTTTGTAATCATAGCCAAAACACCTTTGATCATCAAACTAATAATAAATTAATAAACTAATAAATATAGACATTGCTTTGACACAGTTAAGCCATAATAATAATATTGAGACAGAACTGCAACACGAATGGCACCAATCTAGCAGGAGCTTTGGGGCTTAATTCCTCATGATATTATCATCAGACTAGCCCGGGAGGCTCCTGCGGAAAAATTAAAGAACCCTAAGACCTAAACGAACCCTGATTTATATACAATCAAAGAATCAATCGTGAGGAGGAGGTGGTGATTGCTATGGGATTTGTAAGATTGTTATATATATATATACAGAGATAGCATGTGTTCGTTTAAAAACCCTAGTCTAAATTTACGAAACTACCCCGCAAACCTCAATGACGGTTTATTGAACTACTGGGCCTTCTTAAAAGCCCAAATTTGGATTAAAAAACGAATAAGAAAGGCACCACCTACCGTGCCCCTAAAGTTTTCGCCGGAGAGAAAATTATGCAGTGTTTGGCCCCCCCGATCACCACAACCTACCGTGCTCAACTTACTTTGCTCGCTCCCAGGTCTCTTCCCTCTCTCGTTGACATCATAATCAACTTCAATCCTTTTTCCGAATCTCTCTTCGTTGATTTTAAAGAAACTTGAATCCGTTCGGCTACAGTATTCTCCTTGTAGATTGAGTTCTACGTTTTAGAATTGAGATCTGAGTATCACTAATGTTACGTCGTCGTCTTGTTTCTTTATAGCTCTCTTGTTTAGAATTTTTCTCTTATATTGATGTTGTATTTACTGGTGGATTATGATTTTCTATAAACCAGTAAGCATAGTCCAATCCTAAACAAGTATGTGAAGCAAAGGGTGTCTTCCCATGTGTCTTCCCATGTGTTTACTCATCTTTCAGGTATTACTTGGACTCACCACATGCTTCTATAAATATATATTCATATATACAAACTAAAAAGTTTTGTGTGTTTTTGAAAAAATAAATGTAATTTATAGAATTTTTTAGATTGTAAGATATTATAGCCAAAAGATTATGAGAAAATAAACAAAACCTTTCTATATAAAAATGTTATTTGGGTCATTTTAATTTTTGAACTCTATTTTCATGATAAAAACTTAAAATATTTATTTGAGAGAATTGTCCAAATTTGAATCCCAATGTTAAATCAATTAAAAATTGGGAAATTGTCAGAAATAACACTTTTAAAATACCACTTTTCAACTTTACATTAACCAACTTTACCATTAAAATTTTAGTACTCAAAATATTATTAGAATTTAGGGTTTAAGGTTTTGGGTTTAGGATTTATAGTTTAGGGTTTAGTGTTGATTTTTAGGGTTTAGGGTTTACTTTTTTAGGGTTTACAGTTTAGGGTTTAAGGTTTAGAATTGATATTTTAGGGTTTAGGGTTGATTTTTAAGGTTTAAGGTTTACTTTTTAGGGTCTAGAGTTTAGAATTGATGTTTTAGGGTTTAAGATTAATATTTTATTTAATATTTATTTTATGTATATATATAAAGAACAAGGATATATGAGTCTTTTATTCTTTAATAAAATGTGTATTTTTGAAAATGTTCCCTTGTTAATGGTAAACATGAAAATTGATACCACCAAAGTGTGGTATAATTAAAATTCTCCCTTAAAAGATTACATTCAAATTGTTTCCTGACAATTTTACTTAAACCAAGTAAGTGTGATATGGGTTTTAGCGGAAAGCCCAAATAAGACTGCGGACTCACTAAAGTTCGAGAAACATCCTTAAAACCGACTTAGAAAATATAAACAGACAGGTGTAGATTCATTCACATTTCTTGCACGTAAAGATACTCTCTCTCTCTTTGTGATTTTTTTTTTCTTTTTGATTTAATTTTAACATCTAAAAACCTAAAAAAAGAGTGTTTTCCCAGGAGAAAAAATTATGCAGGGTTTGGCGGCCATCACCACCACCCACTGTGACCCTCTTACTTTTCTCGCTAACAGGTTTCGTTTTACTCTTCTCTCTCTCTCTGACATCTTCAATCCTTTTTTGGCTCTTGAGATGATGGCTACTGTTGGAATCTTAGATTTAAAAATTCTCTTTATAGATTAAGTTATCGTGAAAAATTGATTCTGAGTTTTGGAATTGTGATCTGTTTATATCACTAAACGTTACGTCGTCGTATTGTTACTTTATGTGTTCTTGATTGAGTCTTTTGATGTTCTCATATACTCTCTTGTTTTAGAATCTTTCACTTATATTGATGATTTTAATAAACCAGCTGGAAGCATAGTCCGATCCTAAACAAGTTTGTGAATCAAAAGGTGTCTTTCCCCAAGTTGAATTCATCACCAAAACTTAAATTGTCAGCAAACTCAGTCTCACAGAGACGTCCCCGTATGATTACTCCTCTCTCAGGTATTATGCTTCTCTAAACATATATGTTTTAACATCATAATAACATGTTTGTTTTCACCCTTTACTACAAAAAATGATCTTTTTATAAATCATTTAGAAGCTTGTCCTGTCTGTTTTATAGTTACTGAGACTTTCAGATTAATTAATGTGCTAATCCCAAATGTTATAAAAATCTGCAGCAACTGCACCTGTGAATTTTGCATCAGCATCATCATCTGATCAGCTCTTTGGTCATGGCTTGCCATCATTGTCTCCTGGTCTGAGAAGACGTCAGAGACCAGTAGAGCCTGCGAGAGCATTCAAAGACGACTTCTTCAAGATCAAACTCCCTAAAATCGATGAGAGACCAGAGTGGTGGTGGAGGACACTGGCTTGTATCCCTTACTTGATATCCCTCCAGATATCTGATGTTGGGTTCTACGTCCAGCCTTTTCTAGAAAAGTACGACGCCATTGGAGACATGATCTACTTCATCCCCGGAGCGATTAACCGATGGCCGAGCTGGTTCTTCATGCTGTACTGTTATTTGGGTTACATGTTTGTGGTGAAGAACAAGGACTTGCCTCATTACTTTAGGTTTCATATGATGATGGGTATGCTTCTAGAAACAGCTCTTCAGATCATTTGGTGTACGAGCAACTTCTTCCCGCTGATTCATTTCAAAGGACGGTTTGGGATGTATTACTGGATGGTGATTGGGTTCACATACATTTGTCTGCTTCTTGAGTGCATACGGTGCGCTTTAGCTGGAGTTTATGCGCAGATTCCTTTTGTGACTGACGCTGCTTCCATTCACACTCTCTTCAACTTGGGAGGCTTTTCGAGACCAATCAGGTGAAAAATTGGTCCCTCTATGGTGTTGCATACCTTGAAATAGGAGCAAGTCTTGTCCGTATTCTCTAGAGAGAGAGGTTGTTGTGTCTTATCAGTACTACGAGTCTTCTGTGATGTCTTTTAGTGTTAGTTTCTGATGTGTAGAACCGAAAGAACTCTCTGTGAGAGTAGCTTATATCAATATTTTAAAAGTTCAGTTAAATCGGTCGTAGTGGTCAATGATTCTAATTTCTAAAGAATGTCTAGGTTTTGTTTTAGTACTGAGAAACAGAGAAATTTTACAAAATATATTTTTGTAGAATACCGTGATTAATTGGTATATAATTCTTAACAACCTTTTGATTAATGATTTTGAGATTGATCAATTATAAGAGTCGAAGACTTGTAGCTTAGTTTCGGAGTCTTGTGTAAAACAGAAAAAACTCTCATATATGAGAGTAGCTTATATCAGTTTTTGTTTGTTTCAATGTTATAAATCGGTCGTCCCCATGATTCGAAAGTTTGTCTAGTTTGGTTTTGATCTTGTAATTTGATTACCGAAAACTAAGAAAATTTACAAAAATCATAAAGAGAAAATACTATGATTAGTTAGGTGATGTCTAGTTCTTAATTAGAGATACACATAGCTCTACTTTTATGATTTTCAGAGTGATAGTTTTTAAAGCTGGTTTTGTAGTGAGGGACTAGATGAAAAGTAGTAAAGAATATAATCAGTAACCTCTCACCCATAAAATGAAAAGTTGTGATATGGTGGATAGAATGTATGAAAACAGTTTTAGATGTGGTGGTTTTCCTAACAGATTGTTCTGAATTTGGTAAAAATGTTGTGTACACCTACAGTTGACATATTTTTTTGTTTTACATTAAATTTATTTTAATTTCAGCAGTGTATGAAGTCTTTTTAGTGATTTTGTTATGAGACATATTCTATATGCAGAGAATATAAAGATGAGAAATTAATGTCCCATAAATTTGAGTAGCTAAACCATTATATTTTATGATGTGTTGGCCAAACAAACTCTAAATCAAAACTTCATTTGTCAATAAATCGAAACATTCTTATATTTAAAAAAGGCTTTGTTCTTCATGTTCCGAATCCTAATATTTAAGCCTACTGGATTTAGACTTTGTACCAAATTCATAAAATCATCAAGGTCCATTGACTCCATTGGCTTAATTACAATGAATTTATGGTTAAGTGGCCTTCATGTTTACACAGAAATAAAAAGTGGTAATAACTAATGGAGACCACGTCCCTGCAACATGGTACCAACCAAATCACAATGTCGTAATTACATTCCATCATCATCACAAAGTCTTCCTTGGTCTTTAAAGCCTTGACTGGTTCCTAAACACAGCTCATAATAACTCTTTTAGTAACAACACATTCATTTTCAGAACAGCTCTTAAAAGTCTCTCTCTCTCTAGCATCATGTCAATCATGTAACCGTTCCTTTTTCTCACAAAGAAACTTGCACATTCTCTCTGATTTGGTCGCCATGAACGATCTAATCTCAAGCTCGTTCAAGAGATACACAGACCTAAACCACCAAGTCCAGCTCGACGACATCGAGTCTCAAAACGCAACTCTCGATTCAGGCAACCTCGATGAGTTCTTTGGATACGTGGAGAGTGTTAAAGAAGACATGAAAGCTGTTGACGAGATTCATAAGCGTCTACAAGATGCTAATGAAGAGTCCAAGACCGTGCATGACTCCAAGGCCGTAAAGAAACTCCGTGCTCGTATGGACACGAGTGTTACAGAAGTCTTGAAACGTGTCAAGATGATAAAGACTAAGCTTGTGGCGTTGGAGAAATCAAATGCTGCTCAGAGGAAAGTCCCTGGTTGTGGACCAGGCTCCTCTGCTGATAGGACAAGAACATCTGTCGTGAGTGGGTTAGGGAAGAAGCTTAAAGACATGATGGATGATTTTCAGAGACTACGTACCAAAATGGCTAGTGAATACAAAGAAACAGTCGAGAGACGGTAACTTTTGTTTTTATTGTTGTTCATTTAACGGTTTACTATGATTTAACGAAGGTTAACCTTTCTTGTTTCGCAAGGAGAGTTAATCGTTGATGGGCTTAAATTAGGCATGTCGTGTTCGGGTTTTTACGTTCGACTTAAATCTCATTGAATAACCGAAATAAAATTCGGTTCGGTTTAGTTAGTTCGGTTTTTCAAATTTTACCAAATATTTATTTATTTCTTCAATTATTTTGGTTACTAAGTTACAAAATTTGGTTAGTTTAGTTTGGGGTTTTTATTATGGTTTGATTATAATTTTTTTTGTATAGTGAATCGAAGTCACCGATTATTTTTTAAGATCTACCTAATATAACCTAAACAAACCGAATATAACCTAATTAACCGAAAATTTTGATTCAAAATTTGGGTAGTACGGTTTTTTTTTGGTATGGTTTGGTATTTTATAAGGAAATCGAAGTAATCAATTGCAAACCAAACCAAAAACTGAATTTTTAAGACTACCGAAATTTCGGTTACTTCAGCAGGTTCAGACAAAAATCCTCAGGCATAATAATGTATAAATGATAAAGTTATTGTGTATGTTTGAATCTTTGAAGGTACTTCACTGTAACGGGCCAAAAAGCAGACGAAGAGACCATCGAGAAACTGATATCAAGTGGAGAGAGTGAACGTTTCCTCCAAAAAGCCATACAAGAGCAAGGTCGTGGACAGATCATGGACACATTATCAGAGATTCAAGAAAGGCACGACGCGGTTAAAGACATAGAACGTAGTCTGTTGGAGCTACACCAAATATTCCTGGACATGGCAGCTCTTGTTGAAGCTCAAGGGAGTATACTCAACGACATTGAGTCTAACGTTTCAAAGGCAAGCTCTTTCGTCATGAGAGGGACTGATCATTTGCAGGCAGCTAAAGTGCTTCAGAAGAACTCGAGGAAGTGGACTTGTATTGCCATTATACTCGCTATTGTTCTTGTCATTGTGATTCTCTTCCCAATCCTCTATACATCTTTACTCAAACCTTGAGTTTGAAATAAACATTTTGCTTTTTGCTGTTATTGATTTATATTAGAAACATTTGAGATACAATAATCGTTTTGTATTAACTGTTTCTATTGAGTGTACCACAAACAATGTACAATTTTGAGTTTCATTACCTCTCATGAACACTGTTTACTTCTGTTTTCATCAGATAAAAGACCACCATCAGAAGCAAATCTTTATCTCCTTATCTCAGTAATAATCAATCAGTTTTCTTCTTACAGTTTCCACTCCGCAAGCTTCATATGTTCAATGAAGTTAATGTTCCTAGACAAGTTGGAGAAGACATACACCAAATCTGCAGATTCAGAAAGAATGAAAGAAGAGTCAATCACTATGTGTACCAAAAGACCAAAACATCCAAAGTTCAAAACAACGCCATGTGAGTTAAACTAACCATCTTGTGTCACGAGAGGATAATCAGAGACACTAAGGTTGAGGAAACAATCCTAATCCAAGCTCTCCTTGAGCAAAATCGCCACGACTTGAAGTGTAAAAGCGATCATTGTAGGGCCTTTTATAGGAAACAAGATTAGACTGAGACATAACACGAACAATGATTTCAACTTCACGGAAAGTAGGATCATTCATCACAGACACAGCAAGCTCCAGCCTTTCCTTAGGCGAGGCATCCAGATCTATACTGGTTTCTTGGATGGTACACAGCTTGCAAAGTACTCATGATCCTATGGCTGTTACCTTTAGTTTCCGAGATCAGATAAGTTGCAGACAAGACCAAGCTTGCTAGAAACAGGAACATCCATTTCTTGTCTCTGAAAAGCCTAAACCCTGAATGTCTGACCAATGAATGAAAAAAAGAGAGACTTAACTCAGCAAATCAAAGTCTTAATCTTTTGTACAAATGAAGACAAGAGTTGATAGAAGTTAAAAATGAAAACAACCCAATAGAGATTCTGCTGCTGAGTTTTTGGTGAACTTTAGAACAGAAGTGACAACTGAGAACAACCAATGCACCTACCGAACATAAAGAAGAGGTTTTTTTTTAACTGAAAATGATTGTAATAGATACACAATCTTACATGGTAGGCGGTTTTCGACGAACAAAGATTACAAACAGAGACTAATTCTCGTCTATAGGAAGCAAGCACATCACATGAAAAAGGCCTCTTATTGGCTGCAGAATCATCTTTATATATGTGTTAGTTCCCCTTTGTTGTTGCTTCTGAGAATTGAACAACACTTGACTCCACAGTTCAGGGAAACAATATGGTGCTGAAAACATTACCTAACGTGAAGAATTTGCATTTCCCATCGACCTTTTCAGATATGACTCTAGACAAATTAATCATGTGATCCTTCTGATTCTTGAAGCTGAAAACATTACCTAACGTCAATGAGAAGTGTAAGATAATTAGCAAAATGACAGACATTATCAAGAGAGTAACCGACATGACTAAGCTAGCTAGAAACAGGGAACGTTCATTTTCTGTCTCTGAAAAGTGAAAACCCTAAACATGCTTCCTCCTCACCCTCGCTATACACTTTAATCATTCCCTAAATCCACTACTGACTACTATCCAACGAATGATATTGATTTAGAAAGGAACAAAATTTTGTCTCTTGAACACAACACCAAACCAGATTCAGATTCTTAGTCGTTTTGTATACATAAACACATGAAATTTTTGATGCAATTGACCAAACCAAATACAAAGGGATTTGATAGAAACATAAAAGTGACTGTCCATATTTAAAAAAGAGAATGACACAATGACATTTTTGCAGCAGAGTTTTCAGGTTTTAAGTAAAAATGATATCAACCACCAAGAGCTAACTAATTAAATATCATCACTAACTCCTAGTTAAAGACAAAGACATGCTTATAGTTTTATCCTTTTTTTATCTTCTAAGAAAACGAAACAGCCTCACATCCAGTTTTGGTCGGAAACATCAAAACTGCAACAACTATAATTTCGAACTTTACTGCAACAACTAAAATTTCCAACTTTTAGGGTTCCCTAAATCTGAACTCAATCTGGGAAAACCTTGTTACGGACCAAATTTGAAGCATACGAGATTAAAACTTACCAGAAAAGGGAACAAATCCATCATCAAAACTGGAATTTTCTAGGGTTTTTCGTCGAAATCGATTCTGGAAAAAAAAAAAAATTTGGACCATTTCTCGATTTGTGGGTGTCATCCTTGCGCAGGGGCCATGCTAATCTTCTCTAATCACCTCTGTGACTCCGACGATATATGATACCTAATGGGCTCGTTCACTTTAAAAAACCTCAATCAAATTTCTCGTCGGCCCATTAACGCTATCCAAAGTTGATTAAATTAAATATATTCATAGTTCTGTAATTTGACTCTAACTAGTATTGACCCCCATGCTCCACATGGGCATATTTTTAGTTGTGAATAATTCGGTTAACTAAAATAGAAATGTATTAAACAATTTTGTTTTATCAGAAGGAAATGCATATACAAAAAAAATTAAAACTTTTATTAATTAATCATAAAAATTTAAAATTAAGTTTGATTTGCTTACCAAATTTCACATTGATGTTCTTAAACAACTTGTTGAATATAAATATTAATTTGAAGCTTTCCTGTTTTACTTTGTTCTTGATTTTTAATATTCGATAAAATAGTATACACTAAATATCTCTATAAAATAATATATTTATAGTCCCAAAATGAGTATTTGGTTCAATTAATATATCGATAAATTAATATCTTTTTAAATTAATAAAAAATAAAATTTTGGTGTAGTCCCAACATTATTAATTTATAGAGGTTTTTATGTATGTTTTTATTCAGGGCATCTATTGATTAATTCAGTATCATCATCTACACAAAAATAATATTACAAACCCAATGAAACAATAAAAGGAAATAAAGCCATACGATTATGTGAACTTTAGAAAATGAAAGTAAGGAAATCCAAAGTCACCAAGTAAAAGGATGCATGCTGCATCAGATATGGAGCCACACTTGGTCCAAGATGAGGCATCATTTGTTGATGCATTTGAACCTCATAAGGAACAAGACGCTGGTTTGATCACTTTCTACCGATGTTGAACCATGATTCATCATTTGATCACTCCTACAAATCTGATTAAGACTTGGGTCAGTATTCAGTAGTAACGATTCCAACATTAATGGTGGACAATAAGCAGAGCAAAACAGAAACACTATGCATAGTGAATTTCACTAATTTAAAAATGATTGAGAAGATAATTTCTCTTTTTCATAGATATTGTTTTATGATTGTATCACTTTTGAAGGAAAATGGTGAAAATGATGTTTTTCCTAGTGCCACTAACTCAATATGTTCACCATGCTAGACATTCAGTTCAATTGATTTTACTTTCATAATGCATTTTTTTGGACAAACCTTATCATTGCTATTTTCTGGTTTGTTACATTCTTTATTTTGTCTTCTTTTGTCCTCACCGTTTTAAGGGAGACATTATATTCTTTTGATCTACCTTTGTTTTCTTTAAGTATGCTTCAATAATGACATGATTATCTAATAAGTGTTTTCCTTAATTATATATTCTTAAGAATTCTTCTTTCTAGCATGCATGGTTGAGTAAACCAAAACATTATTCTTATACTTTGAAGTCAAGGCCGGCCAAGGATCAAAGAAGCTAAATTAAAATCATCTTGATCTACCTTTTTCCCCTATTTGTATTTGTTGAGGATACTTTTTTTTTCTTATCCTGGATTAGATTGTTTTATCTTGATCAAACATTATGTTTGAGGTTTCTTATTTTCATTGTCATTTGGGAAAACTAAAATTGTTTTCATCTGATTTAGAGTTGAATGACTAAGTATCAAAGTGATTGAATTAGGAAAATGATGATGATCTATAATAATTTGTTTTTTTAATCTAGTGCATCCTTATAATAATTTCTCTTTTTGGCATCTCACTTCTTAAAATATACTCCATGTACTGATATTGATACCCGTCTAGCACTCGCATATATAGCTTAAATTTTGGTTAGAGCGTTAGCAATGTTTATAAGTGTTGTCATTGCTGCAAACCAAATTACTGTAGCTGGTTAATATAGTTATACTCACATCTTCAGTCATTCTGCTCACTTTTGGCTATACTATTTTGATCTCTCTTACCACGCATAATAGATCATACAATGTCAAACCTCTAAGACACCACATAAACACATGCCATATGAGAATGAGGGTAATTTCACCAAACTATGGCATCTAACCGGTGACCATATTTTAAGGGAAAATATGGTGAACTCTTTGTTCTTCAAGTTTTATACAAATTAGATTGAGTCTTATTCAATTCCTCAAATGTTTATTATTTTGTTTATTTTTTACATTCATCCAACAGTCACCGATGGAAGCCTATGTATGTATTTTGTTACTTCTTTCTTGAGCTTTAGAATTTCACCAGCTAGACATAATTTTCCCAAACCATGTTTCCATTGAGTTTTGTTTAACTTATAGAAAATACAGAACATTTAGAGTTGTGCGCTTTTCTTTGCTCTAAAGTCTAACTAGCACACGTGTTGTGCCTGATATGTGATGCTAAATTGAGTTTAAACAAGTGCATGAAACTGCTAAAAAACGTAAACAGAACACAACAAATATTGTCTAAAGTTACAACTCCAAAGGTCGATTCTAGTTCAGCTGATGTCTTCTTATTTAATCAGGGATGTGGCTTTTGGTCACACAAAGAGAGAATACAATATTATTAAAAAGGCTGAAAACGAAAATAAGAGTGTTCTCAATCATAAACACGCAAAAGTAAAACTGGTTTAAAAGCATTCTAAATCACATTTTATCTAGTTTCTTGGCACCGAATGATCACCGGAACGATGTTAATCTTCAATCATCACCATCACTCTAATTAACTAAATGATTATCTTATCATGGCCGTCAATTATTGAAATGCCGTTTTATTGACTTGTTTGATTCACTTAAGCAAGTACCTTGTTTCAGATGAATAAGTTACACACACACTAAACATAATATATTACAAACAAGTTCAAAGAATCGGGTAAACACACATTTTTATACTAGAGGAGGTCTTCAACCAACAATGATTACAAATAAGGATGATCTAACAAGCACACTGATCTTTTCCTTGGGACAAATCACATGAGATAAAGCCTCTTATTGGCTGCAAAATCAAAAATCAGCTTCCTCAGGACTATGACTCATTTTTTGTCCTTGGTTTAGTCTCATTCGTTCTTGTTGTTTCTGAGATCTGACATCTCTTGTTTCTGAAAGAATGCATTGGGACCTCTGAAGAACTCGGATTCAGCGTTGGGTTCAAGACTTTCTCAAATGTGATTCTACAAAGTATTCATTTGATTCTTCAGGGACATTATGAAAAGGCAGTAATGGTTCTTCTTCCACATAATAAGAACTCTCAAAACCAGCATAAAGAACAGACATCAATAGAGTAACCGACAAGACCAAGCTTGGTAGAAACGGGAACATCCATTTGTTTTCTCTGAAAACCCTAAACCCGGAGTGTCTGATCCAAATCACCTTCCTACACACTTTCCTCCCTAAAAGACAAGAAGCTTTGCCTAACCGATGAATGACAGGACTTGATTTATACAAGAGACCAAAAGCTGTTCTTTCTAATCAAAGTCTTGATCTTTTGTACAAATGAAGACAAAGAATTGAAAGAAGTTGCCCAGTAGAGAGGCTCTGCTGCAGAGTTTTGGTGAACTTTAGAACGAAAGTGACAAAAGCTAGTTAATAGAAGACAAAAAGTTGATGAGAACACCAACATCTAATGCACCAACCGATCATAAAAGAAAAGAGTTTTTACTGTTTATTTCTTTTGGCATGGCAAGAGAGAAAATCTTGTTTCGTCCTAAGCTGAGTCAGATCTAATATGATTAAATCGAGTTAAAGAAACAAACACTTCTTAGAGTTCAAGTCTCGCATTCTTTTAAAAAAAACATAACAAGACAAATTCTTGGATAAAGACAAATGCTACAGATGAATAACGCAGGATAAGAGTTTCTTTAAAGCTTCTTCTTGCAGCTTAAAATGGAGAAACAGAACGAAATCTCTCGAAAAAAAAAACATTAAATGAAGATAAGACATGTCAATTAGATTAGAGGAGTGGTCTTCCTTTCCTGGTTTCATTTGTGGAATCACCACTTCAGTGACTTTGTCTATCCAATGTTAATTAGATTAGATTATACACTTTCATCATTTCCTAAATCCATCACCCTATCCAATGAATGATACTGAGGAACCAAATAGGTCTCTTCAACACCATACAAGATTCAGATTTTTTGTCTTTTTGATAGAAACAACAAAATGTTCATAAAAATGACTCTCCTTATTTCAAAAAGGGAATGACACAATAGACATTTTGTAGCAGAGTTTGCAGGTTCCAAGTAAATGATTTCAACCACCAAGACCTAACTAATCAAATATCAACACTAAGTCCTAGTTAAAGACAAAGCTATGCTTAAAGTTTTATCCTTATCTTGTAGTAAAACAAAAAAAGGAACACCTCCAGTTTTGACAGTGAAACATTAGAACTGCAATAACTAAAATTTCGAACCAATAACTAAAATTTCGAACTTTTAGGGTTCGCTAAATCTGAAATCGAACGGCAAAACTTCTTGCGGACTACATTTGAAGCATAAGAGATTAAAACTTACCATAAATGGGAACAAATACATTCGATGATGATCATCAGAACTGGAATTTTCTAGGGTTTTGGTCGGGATCGATTTTGGAAAAAAACAGAAAAAAAAATTTGGACCATTTCTCGATTTGTGCGTGTCATCCTTGCGCAGGGGCCATGCTAATCTTCTCTGTATCGTTCCAATTTTATCGGATGTCCCCGAAGGGACAATCATCTTCGTGACTCCATCGTTATATAAACACAGCGTCTTCTTCTTCGGAAAGCGATGTGGGACTGTTTCACTTCGTTTCTACTACTTAATGGGCTCTTTGTATATACTAAAAGGCTTCTCTCGGATTTTTAATGAGCCCATTAACACTATCCATACTCTGAAAATTAGAAATTCCAAAGCTAATTAATAAATAGAAAATAAAGCTTCAGAAACTGATAAGAGCATCAAGAAAAACATTTGGCAGAGTTTTAAGAGTTCTTTGACCAAAAAAAAAACAAAAGGAGTTTTAAGAGTTCTATCCGTTAAGCTACACAAGAGTCCTTGGAACACG